AGGCCACGGGGAAGGAAAGACCGAGGAATGGTCAGACTGAAGGAAATCTGATGAAATGCCCATCTGGGTCCTTTGCCATAAATATCGTTATCAGGAAAACTGGCAGGACTTGAGTCAGGTCTAAGAATTCCAAGGCAGTGGCACGTCACCGTGGGCTCCCCGATCTGGCGCAGCGCCAGCGTGGAAAGGCATCCCCAGGTGCGGGCACCACGCGGGAGGTTCGGTTAAAACAAGGCCAACTGCTGTCTTTGCAGCTGTTCTTAGGGTTCAGCATTTCAGAACAGAATGGAAACTGGAATCTGCCAGGCAGGAGAGAAGGCTGAGTCCTTGCAAGTCGCTCAGTTTGTGGTCGCTGTGGAGCGCTCAACACAACAGCGTGACCCTAAAGCTCCCACCTCCGCTCTCTCCACCCCTCTCCACCAGCAGGAGGGCGCAGGCCTCAGGGGCCCACACACAGCCTCGTCTTCACTGTTCCTAAGCACACTTTAAGGACTAAATACCTCAATATTTAGCAAGGAGGGTCGAAGGGGCTGCTCTCTGGGAAAATTCATGCTTCACGATTTTAAGATAAAGGCATCAACTCCCAACTGGGCACCGTCAAACCTGCTATTCAACAAGAAACTCGATTCGCCCTTATTTCCTTCCCGGCTAACTCACTGGTTTGAGCCAGAAAAGGACGGAGAATTTTTTCAGGCACATACATACCGAGAAAGGGTCAAACGTACTAAAAAAGGCCGCCCACCAGATGGATCTGCTGACGAGAGGAGGGATGGGAAGCTTGGGAACGAATGTTATAAAACTCAGTAAAATGTACATGGTATTACTTGTTTTCAAAAAATAGAAATTTATTTCTCTCTCCTTTTATTTTTCCTCCACTTTTGGTTCTCAGCTCTTTCAGTGAAATATTCTGACTGTAGGAACGTGCTGCTAACTTTAACGCCACTTACGTTCACTACAGCGGCTGGGTGGGCACCATCATGGGCAGTGACAGCCTCGCAATCAGTGTCCCAGCTCCTGTGTGACAGTAACTCTGCACTCTGCTGTACCATCCGCAGACTCTGCCCTCCAGGTGCCGGCACAAGCATAAGGCAGAAGTGACATCTGGGGACTCCAGGGCTTGCTTTCCAGTTTAACATGGTACAGGGCTCATCTTTGTGTTCTGCTTTGTTTTACTGTTTCCATGTCGTCTTCAATGCAACAAAACCTGTTCAACACAAGCTCCCTAAGGGTGGCTCTGTCACCCCCAACTCTCTGGAAGGAGAACCTGGGCCCAGAAGCTTGACTCGTGGGCACAAAGCCGGTGACAGCACAACAGCAGCACCCAGACTGCCCGGGTTCCGTCCCAGGAGGGCAGAGCGCCCAGGCTGCCGCCCTGGAGGGAAGAACTGAGCCGTCACATTAACGGCACCAGAGCGACAGTCAAGGGACCTGCTCCTCCTCCCCAAGGGCAGACCCAGCCACCGCGGCTGCCCCAGGACACTGCTCTCTGTCCTGTGCGAACGCCTGCCCTTGTGTAGCAAGACCTCTGCCTTCACTGACTTTCTGACAAGATTCTGGGTCAGATTCTGCAAGCAACAAGAGCACATAATGACAAAGCGAGGGTGCCAGCTGCAGAAGGTTTTGGATGACTCTGTTCATACAGCAGAAGTGAACATGCCCTGAGTGCTGAAGTGGCACAACAAACTGCAAAATCCAAGTCCAGTTACCTATGGGGTCAAAGTTGAGGCTGACATTCAGGCCCAGTCTCTCATCTGCCAGCCCCTGGTGGCAGGTCCCCTATCTGAAACACCTGTCCCCAAATCTCTTTGCCCCATTAGGTTTTGTTCTGCAAAAGTGGTATAGCAAGGATGGCGACTCACAATTCCTTATCTAAAATCCTTGGGCCAAAGGTGTCTCAGAATTCAGAGCCTCTTGGATGGAGGTCAGTCTTGAAGCATGTGCCAGCAGGGTGTATGTCCCAATGATGTCTGAGCAATACTGTAGTCCATTCCACCGTGTTAGCACTTCTGCAGAAAACTGCACATTCACACACAGGGAGCTAAAGGAAGGCTGTAAACAGAGCCATGTCAGATCTGCCTACCAACTGAGTTTCCACCAAAGTTAGCGTAACTTTTGCTTTAACTATGAGCTTTTAGATTTCAAAGCAGAAGAAATGATGAATCTGTACTACTATAAATACTTTACTGGTGGTAATGACTGGAGCTGTGGGCAACAAAGTGAGTAAGATACACATTATAATTAAAAATGTCAAAGTCAACTCTGCGACATTTACCAGAATCCATCATCTCCAAATGCTAAAGGCAAAGTGAGAGCGGGGAAAGACCACAGAAGAGCCCACTTCCCACTCTCACGAATGTGCTCCATAAAGTGACAGCCTCGGCACCAAATGGTTCTGGACAACCGGGCTGCCGACAGGACACAGCACACAGAAATATGAAGTGACCAGGTTAGGGTGAGGGAGAATCAAAAGGAGGCTGAGGTTTAAAAAGAATGTTCGCACTTCGTGTGAGCAAACTTTCAGTGCTGGTTAGTATGCTCGCTAAATTATGACAATTACATAAATCAACTGCTGATACCATCCGAATCTTGGCTGAGATCTAAGTCTATCTTAGACCTTCAGTTTCCCATGCTCACTTGGAATAAAGCGCTTACAAGATAGCAGGGCGGGGCAGGCAGCCAGCACACGGGTCTGGGGGGGGGGGGCAGACCCACGCCCACCAAGGTGGGAGCAGCCGGCCTTCCCCAGGAGGCCTCGGCAGACAGCTGGCTGAAGGCGCCGGGTCAGTGCCCCGGAGCAGGAAGTCCGCGCAGCACCCAGCCTGCTGCCCACCGCGAAGCGAAGGTAGAGGCAGCGCCTGCTGGACACACACGCACAGACGAGGCCTTCTCTCTCCATCACCTCGCAGCCCTGAGCACGCCGCACACAGGCCCGAGGCTCAGAGGTGCAACTAGGCGCTGGGAAACCTGGGGCAAGGTCAGCAGGAAAGTGCTGCGATGCCCCAGGGTCTCCACGTCTAACGGTGGGCAAAGCGAGCCTGCCACAAACTCTTCGTCCAGTGCCTCGCCGACACTCGCCACCCACCGAGGTGGCTGGACGGAGAACACAAGCATGGGAATGAGCGGGGTCAGCGGAGAGAAGAAAGCTGAGCCGGCACTGGCGGCGCAGGGCACCTGCGAGTGCAGCTTTTCCAGGGGAGACAAGTGACTCCTTCGCCAAATAACCCACGCGGCCAGTGCAGTGGGAGTGGCTGCACCCGCGAGGCGCCAGCAGCACCTGCGCTCGGCCGCACCGTACTTGCAGGGCTGCACACCTACAGGCGCCCTCAGCAAAGGCAGGTATCCAGACAAAACCAGGAAAAGGTAAATTTGGCCTTTTTATGACCTGGGTAGTAGAACATTTAAAACACAAAGCCAGGTGGTCAGCTCAGCAGGACTGCTGCTTTGAGCAATGTGACAGCCCTTTATCAAACAATTACACAAATAAGGTGTCTTGGAAATAACAGACTCCGAAGCACCTAGACACACATTCAAGTTTAAATGTTCTGGGGAGCAGGAAGACATGAGAAGGCAGTCAATAAGTTCAGAAGAAAAACATTTCCAAAAACAAGACGCTTTTGAATTATTGCTAATGACCAGCTTCTTTCTAGTGGAAGAGAGCATACCTTGGGAAAAGAAAATAAAAGCTTAATTTCATTGTTTTCTAAAGAGAAAAAAAGTACTCTGAGAAGCAAGCAAGCCAGCCTCGTGACGTGATGCTACCATCCCGACAGCTGTTACGAGTGTTTCAGAGACACCGATATACTCGCCCCAACAGAGCTTTAGGTTCGTGTAACCTCCACGAAGAAAATGCTGTCATCCACCAACCCTAGGCTGGCCATCTAAACGACATTCTAATGTCACACCAGTTTCTCAGCACCTTGCAGAATAGTTTCACTCACACGGTCATCTCGCAATTACATGTATAAAGCAGTAACTTTCATGCGGCAAACAGCTTTTCTTTCTGAATTCTGTTAGTGGTAGATCATTTGCCAGGAGACCAGCGCACAGATTACTAGATCACCATCTATCATTCCTTTTTTCATCATTAATAAAAGCTATTTTATCATTCAGAATGATAAAATATGATTAACTGATACAGGATAAACATGAGTCAGCAGAACTCAAAGAGAACTTTTTCCCTGTGGCAAGTTAAACTAAGGCCTGTTAGAAACAAACAAAAAAATCTTTCTGTTAAATGAACTATCTTGACTCCAGCTTGCTTTTCACTTCGGCAGTAGTTCTGGTAAAGACCTGAGCAGACAGTTGAGAACTGGACACGTCCACCTCATAGTAGTGGGCTTACTAGGAGCACATTACTGAATGAATGAAACAAATGACTGACCAAAAGCTTCCACCAACATCCTAGTCTCTTTAATCTGTAAGATGCCTGACAGGCTGTACATTCAGGTAATAAACCACCAATTCATAAATTCCAAACACAAAGTAACTAAAGGTATATCTTTATCTTGCCTTCTTTAAATGCAACTTTTCCTTCACAAAAAAAGAAGCATTAAGTTGCTGCATCTACCAAAATAATGTAAACACACCTATATATACCTATCTATAGCAACGATGATGTCTTCAAAGAGGTTTAGTATGTGGGTTTAAAGTCTCATTAGTAGGGACCCTCCCTGGTGGCCCAGCAGGTTAAAGCACAGCACTAAGAAGCTAAAGCCACTTCCTCATGAATTCGATCCCCACCTGCCCAGAAGAGATGCACATGGCCTGCAGACCTCCCCTGATCCGCCCACAGCTCCCCTCAGCAGATCCTCGATGATCTGGCTGTTCTGCTCCCCACTCTGTCTCTGGTGAAGCCTCTCACCGCTCCTGCACCTCTGGCCTGTACCCCAGTTCTGTATGCACAAATAAATAAATCTTAAAAAAAAAAAAATCTCATTAGTAAATGCCCAGATCAGAATAGCTGAAAGTGCTCACTGAGTGGGCCCACATGACTCACTTACCTTGTCTCGGGATTATAGCCTAAAATGTAGAAAAACGAATCCACTCGAGCTTTAAATTCTCTAGCAGCAAATATGTCAGAAAAATGGGAGATGTTACACTTCCCTCTGAAAATAAACAAACACAGAAGAATATATTAGTAATACTCTCAATTGCTGTGCAAACCCCAACACCCCTGGAGAGGCATGGCAGGGGAACTCCAACTGCCTCTAAGAACCCGCAGGCCCAGCCACAGAGCCTCCCTCCTACTCAGAAAGTGGGGACTTGAGCAAAGGAGACAATGTCCAAAACTGTGGGTTTTGTTTCAGGACACCTTCACCTATAACAGTAACATAACTGCTTTGATCTGAGCATTTCAGTCACAAAGCAAAACTTATTACACCACAAAAATGAAATGAAGCGAGACCTATGATTAAAAAGATGCTACACTACTAGAAATAATGGGGTTTTTCTTCAGCTACATTGTGAGAGGTATTTTTCTTCTCTTTTTATGTGCAAGAAATAGAATGACCTGCAAATACAGACCTAGAAAAAGATACACACACTTCCCAAGTTCCCAGGAAACAGTGAAGAAAACCTTTCCCACGGTTCCCAGTACTGTTTAAGGTGCAGGAAGCTTTCCAGCTCATCTACCAGAAGTCACACCTCAGTGTAGTTGAGAATGCTGCAAACATACTACAGGTCTCCTTAAGCAGTGCTGCCTTGTGCTTAAAATACCTATGTCAGAACCATTATACCATCCTCATCCCCATTTTTCCAGGGTTTCCAAGGAGGCAGGGTGATTTAGTAACTCCAATTCCATGCGTGATCACAGAGTGAAACTTTTTTTACCCAGGAAAACTAATGGAACTTTAAGGCTCTCTGGAGCTGGAGGGTCAAAAACTGCATACTGGACACTCCAGCCTAACCACACAGGCCAACTCGTGGCCGTGGTGTCAGGGAAACAACACAGCTGGGCTGTCGACATGGGGCTGGGCATTCTTCCTAGCAAAGATGGAAAAGCCATGCCCTTTTCCACCAGGATTCGAGTAGCTGTGACGGAAGCCTCAGTAATAGAAGCTAAGGAGGGCTCAGTCACCACCTCCAGACTTAGTTTAAATGTAGCTGGTGCTGTTAAAATCCCTTTGGGAAGTACTGCTCAGAAGATAATGCACAGACACTGAGCACTTAAAATGGGTCTCATACAAACTGCAAAGAATAGAATTTTTATTTTTTACTTAATCCTAATTAATGCAAATTTAAATAGCCACATGTGGCTACCATATGGAACAGCACAGATTTAAATATCATTTCCATCATGGCAAAATGTTCCACTGGAAGTACTCACTTAGAGGTAGAGATGCAATTAAAGGAAATTAAGGATGAGGTATGAACTTTGCAGGTCCCTATCAGCCTATCCCCTGATTATTTAACTGTAGGTAAAATGAGCTTCTAGACCTAAGAAGCAGATAAGATGACTTTTACAGGTGAACGAAGCACTGATTCCACAGCCAACTACTCATCTTGGTGGTGATTTAGTATCTGAAGCCAAGAAAAAGATAAACTCCTTATCAGTTAGATAGGGAGAAGAATACCTATTATGCCTATCTCATAAAAATAAAGCTCCAATGAAAATCTCGTATGTTAGTCAGTAGTATATAAAATGAGTTTTTTCCGGGGGCCTTCTGGTGGTGCAGGGGTTAAAACAGCGCTATCAATCTGTCCTGAATTCAGTCCCCAGCCAGGGAGTGACCCACAGGGCACGCAGACCTCTCCTGTCTCCCCGCTGCTCCCCTCAGCAGTGGGTTTTGGTAGATCCATCTCTTCTGCTCCCCATTCTGTCTCTGGTGAGCCCCCTCACCCCCACCACGCACCCATGGCCTGCACCCCAGTTCTTACATGCATAAATAAGTAAATCTTTAAAAAAGAAAATGTTATTTCCATCATGGTTAAATATTAAAGGAGTCTTTGTTACTTTAAAATTAAAGGTTTAATTGGGTATTAATTAAAGGTATAGAAACCCTACCAACTTACCATTCCAAACACAGCCACTAGAAATCAGTCATGTTTAAAATGGGGTTTTTAGTAATTTCAGCACTATTGACAGTTTGGGCTGCATACGCTCTGTTGGCGGGGCTGTCCTGCACCTGGTGCCTGCCTCACCTGCACAGCACTGCCCCCACACACAACTGATGAAAATGCCACGACACCAATGTTCCCTGGCAAGACAATGGAAGTGGCGTGGGGAGAACCAGGCCTGTGCCCCCTGGCACGTGCAACTTCAGAGAGATTCACCCAGGGATACAGGGAGCATGGACAGCTGTTCTCATTTGTACCCCGTAATGAGAGGGAAACAAAAATTTTTAAACAGCCAGCAGCATCATGCTTATCGTCTATTGTAAGTGATCCCACTAGTGACAAGTACAAGCCTTCTTCTGAAATTCCCTTTCAGTGTCTAGCCTGTCTCCCCGGCTTCGCAGCGGACGCTCTGGGCCCTGGCAGGCTTCCGTGTGGCCTTGTGTGTGCATGAGCACTTCCTCCCGAGTTCCTGTCCTCCCTACTCTGGCAATGCTCTAGATAGGCCCATGTACCTGGGGCCTACTGGTGGGCTCTGAGTCACTGTTTGAATTTAATATTTAATTTGATTATATTGTTTCATTTATATTGATATGCTTGGTGCAACTCAATTTCCTACTAGTTTTGTTTCAAATACACACCATATGTCCTCATATACAGAACTGAGGCCTGCCATTTTAAGAAACTAATTTCCATTTGTATATTCCCTCTGAACAGGGACTTAATAGGTAAATTTTAAATTTCCAGAAGAAAAGGCTTTTTTTGTCTTTGTTTTTGTTTGTAAACTGTGGTCTTACTGCATTTCAATCAGCTATTTTTGTTACTATCTGAGGATAAATTTTTGAAAGCTGATTTTTGAGAATATACCAAGGTACAGAAGAAGGACATGTATTCTTTATTATTAAGGCACAGAGTTCAATATCTATCTATAAGATTAAATGCTTAGGAATAAATGTAGTAAGAAAGGGAAAAACTGTATGAAGAAAATCTTTGAGCACTCCCAAAAGACTCAAAAGTGAACGGAAACAAATGAGAACTGCCCCTGCCCTTGGACAGGGCACCAGCGTCACCCAGCACAGTAGACTCTGCGAACACCACGTGGCTGCGTTCGGTGCCGACAGCGACTGGCAGCCCTTTGGCAGAGCAAAGCACGTTAATACTAAGATTCACATGAAAACCACTGAAAGGGCAGGAAAGCAGACACTGAAACATACATAATTAAGAGTGATGTGGGCATAATTAGATCACAGCAAACGCAAACGCAAGTCCAGACCACCCTCTGGAAAACAAGGTGAGACAAGGGCAGATCTCAGCTGCCACCTGGAAGGACGGGCCCTTCAACAATGATGCCAAGGTCGCCCAGCAAGTCCTCGTCAGTAAAAGGCTTTCTAAGTGGGATTCAGAGCCACAGGATAAAAGAGACTGATTTAACTTGATATTAGTGAGCTTTAGCATTAATTCAACTGACAATAGTTGCAGGAAAATATTTGTAACATACACAATAAGCATCTAAAAACCTTTCAGAGTTAGAGCCAAAATGCCAAAAGCCCAACAGAAAAGACTCAACTACACAATTCACAAAAAGGAGACAAAGATACCCTTGAAACATTTGAAGAAGCACTCAAACTCATTCATTGTTTGCAAAATAAAATGAAACACTAAGATAGCATTTCCCACATAATGGACTGCAAGCTTTTAAAAAACCAGGCAGCACATTCTGTTGGTAAAACAGAAAACCTTACACTGCCAGAGGGAATGCAAATGCTTCTGGAGGGACATCCACATAACCCTTGTAAGCCAACAAACTCCCATACAAAGCCATCCTGGACACATCCAACAATAAAGGAACGCTGGTGTGTGAGAACAGTTACGGGGCCATTTTTCATAAAGACAGCCAAGGCCCAATCTCAGAGCTCGTGGGCACAAGCAGCTGAATGGAGCAAGGCACCCCACAGCAGAGCACTGGCACCCCCAGCGTGGAATACCTGCAGCTGTAGAAGAGACAGAGAAGAGCTCTGTGGACTGATAGGGCGTGATTTCCAAACACATGCTAAGTGAGAAAAGCAAAGCAAAAGTAAAATTTGCAGTATGCGGCCCTCCTTGGTGGCACAGGGGGTTAAAGCACAGCATTGAGAATCTAAAGCCACTTCTGCATGAGTTCAATTCCCGCCTGCCCCAGAGGTGACCACAGGGTGCAGCAGACCTCTCCTGACCTGCCTGCTGCTCCCCTCAGCAGTGCCCTTCATCCATCTCTGCCTGTTCTGCTCCCCACTCTGTCTCTGGTGAAGCCTCTCACCGCTCCTGAGCCTCAGGCCTGTACCCCAGTTCTGTAGGCACAAATAAATAAATCTTAAAAAAAATTTTTTTGCAGTATGCTACCCATCATATTAAGAAAGAAGAGATTAGAAGAAAAGAAACATATATTGGCTCATTCGTGAAAAGAAATTCGAGAAGGATAATCTCAGCGAGGGGAAGAAGCGGGGAACAGGGCCCTCCCTGTGGCACAACAGGTAAAAGCACAGCACTGTGGAACTACTGCAGCCGCTGAAGCACTGAGTTCGATCCCCAGCCAGGGAGTAACCCCCAGAGTGCAGTAGACTCCTCCTGACCAGCCCACTGCTCCCCTCAGCAGTGCAGTTCAATAGATCTGCCTGTTCTGCTCCCCGCTGCCTCTCACCCCTGCAGCACCTCTGGCCTGTATCCCCGTTCTGTGTGCATACATAATTTTCTCTAAAAAGAAAAAAGCGGGACAAGAACCCGGCAGCAGTCCTGCTCCCCAAGCCCCAGGGTAAATGGCCCCAGCCAACGAGGAGGAACAGGTCAGTCTAACTATAGTATAAACAAACAACCACACTTGAGTAGGGACGAAAGAGCAGAGCTAACCCAAGCAACTCTAGAAAACAGTGTCTTACAGAAGACAAAGAGAACATTTAGTGACTGTTTCATACAGGAATATAGATTACAAAATCTGAAACTAAGTTACATGTATTCTTTTTTTTTTTTTAAGATTGACTTATTTATGCATACAGAACTGGGGTACAGGCCAGAGGTG